CCCTTATTTGCGACTATTATACAAATGTGTGTCGTAAATACCACATTGTCCTTTTTACATATATTAGGCCTCAGTGTGCATCCTATTGATATGCTGTTTCAAAATGCATATTGTAGATTTATACACCGCTGTAAAGCATCCTTACTAAATATATCTGGTCATTTCATTGGTAACACCTAACATGATTGCTATATTTGACAGTGCAGGGTCCAACAACAAATTCGATTTTCCCTATATATTCTTTTTCTTTTTAAATAAATAAAACAAAAGACGTAACTACGTGTTCGAACATCTATCTATTTCACTACGCCTCATAGTATGGTTGACATCGTAAACGTATTAGTGTAATTATACTGTACCTATTTCATTTCGGGCATTATATAGGAATAGACGTATGCCTAAATATATAGTTTTAAAATTAGTGTATATATATTTCCATTTCTAAAACCAATATTTTGGGATTTACGTGGTCTACTTGGGTATTTCAAATGAAAATCATAAAGATGATCCAAAATTAATACCGTCAATACCGAATTTCGCAGACAAAATTTAGCTAGCCAGTCCATTCCTATATCAAATATTCCTATCTTCTCATCCCTATGCCACATATTCGGTAATAATCTTTTCTATAGATATATTCCATCATATGATTGGCGATAATACAACCGAATGTGACGTGGTTATGACCATATATTAAATATAAACGTATATATCCGGTCCCAGTGATAGGCTTTGCCTTGAGCTTCGCGTATTGAGTACACTAATAAATATTTTCCTTGGCCATCGGAATGACTTCAGTAACCCAAATACGTTAAACGGTTGCGTATCCCAATTTCCATACATATTAGTAAAGATAACAATAACGTCTAAACGTTCACTAAGTGCGACCGTTATTATATGTTTATAGCGTGTGTACTGCATGGTTATGTTCGTTAACTCATAGTTCAAAGATGAGTCGTGTCACTATGCCCGATAATGTCATTTAGTCCTTGAGTTGATGAGGACGTATGGGCGGACTATCTAGTGTATGACAGGGCCACCCGAGGTCCAATTTATTCGTAACTAGTATAAGTATGTATGAATATCTGTGAATGATATTCTTTTACTTGTGCATGTATAAGCCTCGGACTCTAATTTATATATATATTGAACATTTCTAAGCTATGTGTGTACTATACGTATACGTACTATTATGAGTGAGTTTTGTAAGCTTAGTGAGTGCCTAAACTTTTCGTAGTAGTTGTTGTATAATTGATAAAACAGTTATGATTTTATCGTAAGGTGTCGGATTTGACGTATTTATCCATTTCATTTCTGTTTTATCTTTATAATTATATTTGAATGTACCTCGGGTACTATATGTATCTGTCTATATATATATATATATATATATATATATATATATACTATATATACTTGCTATATACTCCTAATATTTTTCTAGTTCTTTACGTATTTTAAAACGTCATGATACCTATAGTCATTTCGATTAATTATTGCGTGAATTCGTTGACTCGTAGTAGTTTTAAATGTATGCAATGGTTTTATTTACCTATGTATTGTACAATTTATCAACTTAATACTATGCAATATGTAGCCGTATTAAGATAGTACCAAGTTATGTTAAGAAATGTATATATAGACATTCGGTTATTACCTTTCGTTAATCTATATTATTGATTCATTGTGTTTGTCGTGAATCTTGTATGATATGTCTCCTATGTATAATAAATATATCTACTTGTCTTATATCCTATACTAGTGGGAATTTGAAGTCTCGCCTGTAAAGGACGATATTTCGTGCGTGTATTTATGTAGTATAATTGTTGTACTGTGAATTAATCGATGAAATCGATGAAATTGCTAAATTCCCCGGTATCGATTGTACATCTATATAAAATACTATTATATCTCTTAAAAAACGGTTTATTATAAAGCATGCCTTTATTGTCCATCTGAAGTATTATATATTACAATATGCAAATACTTATCGTGTATGACCGTATTATATGTATTTGATGTCCTAAGCTCAATTACATAGGTGTATTTGTGTAATTTCATCGCAATGTAAAGTGTGATGTTATATATTGCCTCGTAATATGCTATAATTGCACTATAATAATGTATAATAATGTATTTTCGTTAATATCTGTTTATTGTATAATTTTCTCGACTCTATTACGTCCATGTAATACCAATGGACTATATATACATGCTTTTTTCTAATCAGATATTGAAATCGACTGTTCCATATATATATAATTGTCGTATGTCACATATGTCTGATTATCGTAATTCTTGTCTATTGTGTTCGACTATGGAACTCGTTGGTTAAGAGCGCCCTAGGAATATCCTATTTGTAGCATCAAATGTTAAATCATGGTTAATATATCTAACTTTGTAGTTTGGCAGTCAGTGTGTTGTGAATTCCGATGTAATGAATGTGTAAAAAAAAGTGTATATCTTATCTACTACTTCCTATATCTCAAAAAATAACCTTTCCCCGTCATGTGTGTCAGACCTTGTCCATGGTGTCTACTCTAAGTAACTTGTTGCCGCACATATACTTGCAACAACGTCACCCAGTGCGGTACGTAAATCATGTCCTACCCACTTGTCTCCTGGTCATAGTATACCACGGTTGATCGACCGTGGCCTCTCTACCCAGTCATGCCCCGGTACTCATAAATCACCCCTTTTCGAGTGTTTGACATCTTTCTGCAAAATTTTCTGCACCAAGCAAGAACATATCCTTGGAAACACTCGTACTATGTTTGTGTGCCATATTTTGTAAATATAAAAATATGTATAATATATATCTTTCATCCATGCGAAAGATAAACAGCAGCTCCGTCGACAGCATAAATGACTAGCCGTATTGTTATTACTGTAGA